ATATGTATGTACATACAAACGAGCACCAATTAATTTTATTTAAAGAAATGGCGTGGCGTCTATTTCCGCTGTAGCAAACGTAGTACATAGGGCGACATCTAGATGTCATCTACCTCGCCCTATTCACTACAGCTGTCGCCCTATGCACTATGCTTTTTTATAGGAACTTTTCAAAGCTTTGCTTTGGTGTCGGACACACAACATTGAAATTTTCTGGATCCAAGTTGATGCAAGTTGATAAAAGCGTTGTAAAATGGAGCCCCGGTTTCGGTAGGACTCAAAGTAGAGCCCGCGCTATAACGCCGGCGACTCAACGAGCGGTCAAGGCGGTTAAAAACCGCTGGGTGCAGAACACACCCCAGGCAGCCCCTGGAAAGGTCACCCAAAAACAATCCCGCCGGTCAGAACAGTGTCCCCGTATCGGGATATGGATCGACCGATGTAGTACCTACACCAACACACTCGCGAGCCAAAACAACCGCCGATATGCGTGTATAAACCCTCCTCAAAGTCTAGCCAAAAAGCCAGCAACTCACACAACAGGTTCCCCAGAGCAATTCGCTCGAGAAAGTGGTACCCGGTACACGTAATACGCGGCACACAGCACAACAATCCGCCAAAACAGGCAACCCGGCCCAAAATTACCACCGTAGAAGGCAGAAACCCCGAGCGGCAGTGCAGGAGCCCAAGAATTACCCTTAAAACGGCCACAGGAGCTTAAAAAGACCAACTGGTCCCCAACTGGCCCGAAGGTAGTAGTTTCGGATTAGTCCCAAACTGGTTCCCAACTGGTTCCCGGGCTGGTCCCCGACTGGTTACCAACTGGTCCCAAAGTGGTTACCAACTGGTCCACCTATACCTCAAGTGGTCCACAAGTCACTTCACTTACAAAGCATTCGATTTAGTTGACAATAGTCACATGCATTTACATAAGCCGTCATCGATTCGCCACTTCTCGCTCGCTGTTTGAGTTCCGGTCGCTTAAAGAAGAATTTTGCATGCGAAAGCAACAACAAAGTTAGCTAGCACGGATAGACGATAGCGAGTTTGGTTGTACCTCATTGAGTTCGTTCGTTTCGCCACTCGCTAACTGATGGCGAATCGATGACGGCTATTTGTATGTACATACAAACGAGCACCAATTAATTTTATTTAAAGAAATGGCGTGTCGTTTATTTCCGGTGTAGCAAACGTAGTACATAGGGCGACATCTAGATGTCATCTACCTCGCCCTATTCACTATGCTTTTTTATAGGAGCTTTTCAAAGCTTTGCTTTGGTGTCGGACACACAACATTGAAAGTTTCTGGATCCACAACATTGAAAGTTTCTGGAACACAACATTGCAAGTTGATAAAAGCGTTGTAATGATTCCGAAATAGCTATCATTTCTACCATTTTTTCAAAATTATTGTTGCTTTTCCGCAATAATTTTTCATTAAAAACGGCCTCAAGCTCACTAAAATTGTTGAATATAATTGTTATAATGCCATAAAATAACAAAAACAAATAACTTAAGGACGAGCACACCTAAAAAAAGTTAAACATTCTAAAAATAGAATTATTAACAAAAAACCAACAAAACCAACAACCACATGATCAAGTTTAAAAGGATCTGGAATAGCTGCGCTTGATTGTAGTTGGCTTCCCAGATGAAAAAATGAAAAAAAACAAGAATTTAAAGGCGAACTTAGCACGGTGCGTAGGCCACTGGCTGAGTCAGCTGGGGTTATGGGATCGAATCCCACTGAAAGAAGTCGGATGAGGAAATGTGGTGATTTCCGAAATAGCTTCTACCATTTTTTCAAAATTATTGTTGCTTTTCCACAACCATTTTTAATTAAAAACATCCTCAAGCTCATTGCTGAATATATGTAGTTGTTATAAGGCCATCAAATACAAAAAACAAATCACTTAAGGACGAGCACACCTTGAAAAAAGTTCTACATTCTAAAAATATAATTATTAACAAAAAAAGCACCAAAACCAACAACAATATGATCAAGTTTAAATAGCACTGGAATTAGATAGCTGCAAAATTCAATATTTTCTGTAAAAATGTCTTTTTCAAAAATTGCATGCATTGCTATGTCATGTCAACTCAAACAAGGTGTTATGCCATGTCATTCCATCTCGAACATACTGTTTTAGCATGTCGTTGCTACTTAGCTATGCTGTCGTTCGCTGTTGTGCTTCTGTAGCATATTTTTAATACTGTTTGATCCTGCCTTGGATGAAAATATATAGGGGTTTTTAATTAGATAATTCTTTAATGCATTTTACTATAATAGGTGCTTAAGAAATTTACAAAATCTCTTCCCGTAAATAAAAATAATTAACAATGCTGACTATGTCGCATGTGTCGCATATGTTGCTTGTGTTGATTATTCGACAGTGTCTTCATATGTTACTGTGAAACATGTATGAGCGACATAATATGAACTGGCACTTGCATGATGTGACACATGTCGCTATGTTTTATAGTTCAACATTTGCAGGCCTTTAACTGGAATAGTTGCGCTTGATTGTAGTTGGCTTCACAAATGAAAAAGTGGAAAAAAAGGCATTTCATGTCACCGCGGCCACCTCTGTGCGCGACCTCTAAGGATTTGGATGAAAGTTGAAGAGATTGAAGGTCTAGGTTACATAAATATAAATATAAAGTTAATATGATTTATTAATATTGTTTTTGCTTTTTACACATCTTTCAAAAATATACAATTTAATAAAATTTCAAAGTCCATTTATCATATTGCTCGAGCGTTAGACGATCTAGAGTCCGAACGCATAAGTAGCCCATTGGGTGCTTAAAGTTGACATTATAGACAATGTTTTTATGCCAAAATAAAAACTTTTAAATATGCTATAATCAAAAAAAAATCAAAAAGAAAAATGTTTGATTAATTTATTTTTGTTTTTTATACGTTGTAAAAAATGTGCAATTAAAGCCCATAATAAGACGGAAGAAATACATTTTTATCATTAAGTTTCGTTAAAAGGTTTCCCAGATACAGCACTTTAAAGAAAGGTATGTATGACGTTTTCTTAAAATTTAAGTCCCGTGTAAATAGGCAACCCTACGTCATATCGGCAAAATATGCTGCACGGATATTCGTGTCACCTAGACCTTCAATCTCTTAAAATTTCATCCAAATCCTGAGAGGTCGCGCACACAGGTGGCCGCGGTGACATGAAATGCCTCAAAAAGCAACAAGAATTTACAAGGCGAACATAGCACGGTGCGTAGGCAACTGGCTGAGTCAGCTGGGGTCGTTGGATCGAATCCCAGTGGTGATTTCCGAAATAGCTATAACGTCTACCATTTTTTCTAAATTGTTGTTTCTTTTCCGTAAGCTCATTAAAAAGGTGAATATAATTGTTATAAGGCCATAAAATAAAAACAAATTTATTCATTACCTCATTGATAACTACGATATGTTTACGAGCTTGACAAAATGAACGAATGACACCAGATCACGCAAGAACAAGGGACTAAAAAAGTCGATTTTTAGCGGTTTCTACATCATGTTTCGCTGGAACAAAAATAAATCAAGGAACGAGAACCAAAATTGTTGTCAGCCGCTTTAAACACACAATTTAGGTGAAATTCTTCATTAAAATGTTTTAAAACAGGTTTTCGTGTGGAATTAAATATTCTTTAGTTAATAAAAAGTGGAAAATAGTGGTGGTTGGCATGTCAACAAAAGCTCAGCTGATGAGCCCGCTTTCAAAAACGTTTTTCTCGAAAACAATTACAAATACAAGGCCCCGTTCTTACGTGATCTTGTATAGTTGGTTCATGGCTTGGCAATACATACATATGTATGTAGGTATGTTTAAGTGTATATGTATGCACATAACAATCTATATATGTGATTTAATAATGCTATATTATGTTTATATTTTCAGGGTTTTTAAACTTGCGTGGATCAGATATTGATTATAATCCCATATTTTTCGCGTATTTGATTATTGATTTCAATAGTATTAAACTATTCATTGACAAATCAAAACTTCCAGAAAACTTTGAAAATTATCAAAAGCAAAATGGTGTCGCCATTCATGTTCAACCATATGACTGTATTGGAAGCGAATTACAGGCTTCAATAAGTATATTATCAAGTGGAAAAATATGGATTTCTCCTAACTCAAGCTATTTCTTATGTTCCAAGATACCTAAAAAATTAAGAATACAAGAAGTAAGAACATTACAGATGTGAAAAATATGTTTGCAAAGCTTATAGTTCGAGTTTCATGTGTTTTAGATTACACCTATAGCTATCAACAAAGCGATTAAAAATAAAAGTGAAATTGATGGATTTATTAACTGTCATATTCGTGATGGAGTTGCACTTTGTAAATATTTCGCTTGGCTGGAACATGCTATTCAAAATGGCGAAAACATAAGTGAACTATCTGGAGCTACAAAACTTGAAGCCTTTCGATCGTAAGTATTTCTAAAAAAAAATCGGTTTTGCCTAATTTCTATATTTTCAGTAAAAATAAATACTTTATGGGGTTAAGCTTTCCAACTATAAATGCGAGTGGACCTAATGGTTCCATAATACATTACCATCCAACTGAGAATACCAATCGTTCCATAACAAATAATGAAATTTATTTATGTGATTCCGGTGCCCAGTATTTGTAAGTAGATGTATACTCGTTTACAAACATCGATATGATTTCAGTATTTTTGACAGAAGATAATACAGATTTATGCACAAGGGTTTTACAGAATTAGCCCTATTCTCCAATCTCTTAAAAGATTAAGAATATATAACAACATTTTCAACAAAAATGAGTTTGGAGTTTTATGGCTCATTTATTTTTAATATATCTAATAAGGTAATAGCTAAATGTTTCTGTTGATTATTTATTTTTATTATTTTTTATTGTCTTCCGCATTTTCGTCCGTGTAAAGCTGCCTTTAGGTTAGGTGAGGTTAAACGGGCAGCTCTGCAAAGAGTTCACTCGGAGGCCGCGAAGGCCCATTGTGATGCCCATGGGGGGTTACCACAAGCCTATCCCTACATGTCTTCGAATCATTTTGATTTTCTGGCGAATCCCAGCAGTCCTTCCAGAGGAGCTTTCCCCAAGATATCCAGGTTCTCGAAGAAGTTGTCCCCAAGAAACATGAGGTGTTTTCCTCGAAGTGCTGGACACTCGCAAATGAAGTGATGGACGGATTCTAACTCCTTTTCATCCCTGCAGCTTCTACAGAAATCGTTATGCGGGGCTCCGAACCTGGCTGCCATGTAACAAAGGTCCAGTGTCCTGTTAATATTCCTGTGGGAAGCCTAACGTTTGACTTTGAAAGCCTTAATAGACTCCTTATTCTTCGTTCATCGAGCCGTCGCCAGAGCGATCGCGATACCCTGCAAGTGTGAAAATTTTCCCACCTACTGTTAGTGGCTGCCCTAGCCAGTCTTTTGACTTCTGAAGACAGAAATCGTAGGGGAGGTTTCACGATTTGGGCCGCTTGATTATGTGTTGCTGTAGAGCTTCTAGGGATCTTTGGCATTCTTTACCGCATATCGGGTTAGACGTTGCCGACCCTAAGGCTTTGATAGCCACCTGACTGTCAAGAACGAAGGCAAGTTTAGATGGAGCTAAGTCAATCATGCCCACCAACCTTGCCGCCATATGGATTGCATATATCTCAGCCGGTGACAGGTAACAAGATCAACGGAAATAAGGTCAATTGATTTTATTTCCCACCCTGGTGCGAAATAAAGTCAATTGACATTGCCAAAGTTGCTTAGCTTCGCGGCGGCCATCGTCCGCGCGCCACACCACGTCACGCTACGCACGCCCCCCCCTCTCCCGCCATGCTGTAACGCAGGTAGATTTATTGTTTGTATACGTTGAAATACAATTTTTATATATTTTACATATCAAAGGCTTACATTCAATAATACCCTTTATCTGCACACTTTTCACAAAGATGAGATTCTGATATAAAAATCCACCTAAGATTAAACTGTCATCGGTGATATTCATGCTACCTTATATAACGCTTGACAGAAGTAATATATCAGTGATGACAGGTAATAAGTCCCAGATGGTTTCTAAAATCGCAAATTATTTTTTGTTCAAATTGCAGATAGAGGGTATTAAGAATTTAAGCCCTCGATATTTCACATTTTTATATTTGTAAGTTATTGGAACAAATTGGCTGCAGTAAAAACGCATATAATTTGGGTTTCAAAAGTGTGTAAAAACCAAAAACCAATCAATTAACTTACATGATATCGGTTCCGGTATTAAATAATCAATAATTGTTTATACCCGCATTTTGGCACATTGGCTTGAATGTGCCATCTAGTAAATAGTGTCGTTGTTGTTGTTATAGCGGCTACAACAACCCCGCCCAGATCGGTTGATATCTCAGTCGTTGTCGCCAAGTTCCACTAACGGCAGCCCTAAGAAGCGTGCAGCCTCTACAGGGTCGGTCCACAGGGACAAATCCGTTAGGGTTGTCGGGTTTTCCGGGCATGGGAAGAGATGTTTCGAGTCGTGAGGGGTCTCTCCGCATGCCGGACACTCATTTGGCACATCCGCATTTAATCTGCTCAGGTATGAGTTTAACCTGCTGCAGTAGCCAGAGTGAAGTTGGGCTATAATGGTTCTTGTCTCCCGAGGCAGATGAAGCTCCGTCACGTCAATGTCCGGTGATTGTGTGCCTAGAACGGCATTCACAGGTCTAAAGTCTACATAACTCGACTCTGAGTCCCTGTCAATGCCGTTCAGGGCCTGTCGGTATGCTGACGGGTCCAGAGGCTGCTTAATGAACCTCTGGACTTCGTCCGTCAGTTCGTATAGATGTCTCCTTACGTGCCTAGGCGAGGGCTCCTCTGCAAGCAGCTGTCTGTTTGGGTGGCCGCGTCTGTGCCTCCCAACCAGAAGCTGCTTGCAGAGCATTATGTTGTGCTCCTTGATTGGGAGCATTTTCGTCTAGTCATGGAGGTGGTGTTCCGAAGACATCAGGCGGCATACAGTCGCTGTCCTGAGCGCGGTGTTCTGTGCTGTCTGTAGCTTCATCCACTGCGTCCTACTAGTCCACGGCGACCATACTGGTGCTGCGTAGTTTAAAACCGGACGGCCTGTTGCCTTCTATGTTGCCAGCAATGTTTCTTTGTCTTTGCTCCAAGTACTGCCGGCTAGCGACTTGAGGACCTTGTTGCGGCTCTGTACTTTGTTGACAATAGCGGTTGCGTGCGCAGAGAAGGAGAGCAGGCTGCCGAATGTTACTCCGAGTATTTTGGGGTTATTCACCGTCGGAATTGGTGTGTTATCGACGTGAATTTCCAGCGGTAGCCTGACCTCCTTTGTCCAGGTGGTGAACAAGGTCGCAGAGGATTTCGTAGGGGAGAGGGCTAGACACTTTGCAGCGAAGAAGCGAGAAATATCGGAGATATACCCGTTTACTTTCGAACAGAAGTCATCAATTCCATTCCCACTCGCCATGATCGAGCAATGATCGGCGTAAGAGACAATCGAGATTCCCTCTGGTTGTTGAGGGAGCTTTGACATATAGTAGTTGAACAGTAGCGGGGAAAGGACACCACCCTGTGGAACCCCCTGTTTGATTTTCCTAAGCTTGCTCGATTTGTCCCTAAACATTACCGACGAGTGTCGACCACACAGATAATTTCCCGACCACCGTTTGAGCCGCTGTGGGAGAGAGGAAGCCTCATATCTTCTAGTAGCGTGGAATGGCTGACAGTGTCAAAAGCCTTTGACAGGTCCAACGCTACTAGAATCGTTCTCTCACAGGGACCCTTGCTGATGCTTCGCTGGGGCCAGGTGGTTCGTGAAATACTAGAGCTGCAGGGGCTCAAGTGTCTTCGCTACCGGAAGGAGTGTTATCGGTCGATACGAATCTCCTATGTTGGCGGGCTTCCCCGGCTTGAGCAGTGGGACCACTCTCCCCACCTTCCAGATGTCTGGGATGATGAGAGTGGCCATTGACAAATTGAGGACCTCACTTAGGTACGCTACTCCCGCAGGACCCAAAATTTTCAGCATCAGCATGCATATTCCGTCGGGACCCATGGCTTTGGAGGCTTTCGCCTTCCCGATGGCCACCTGAACTTCACCGCAAGTGAAAGCAAGGGGGGCACAAGTTGCTGGCAGTTTGTGCAGCCTTCTGGTCACTTGACGCTTGGCTTTGTCCACCGGAGGATGCAGTATGAACTGCCGGCTAAAATAGCTCGCGCATCGCTCAGGGTCCGACGAAGCATGGTCGCCGAAAGAAATTTCGACTCTGTCGTCGTGCTTCGTCGGATTGTACAGTGACCTCACGGTTGACCAAAGCTTACTCACACCAGAGGTGAAGTTACAGGTCTTCAGATGCTCTTCCCACTTCTTTCGCTTATGTACGTTCACTAGTTGCCGAATCTCCGCGTTGAGATCCCTGATACAGGGATCTCCGGGATCGGCCTGACGAAGGATGTCACGCTTATCGGCCGGAACAGTCGCTTCGGCAGGGAATTTTGGGTGTGGGTCTGTAATACATCCTGCCGGTACGAAGCGAGCTGCAGCAGCGGTGACAGCCCTGCGGAACTTATGTTCACCAAAATGGACTTCGGTTGGTGTGGGGAGAGCAGCGAAGGTGTTTTCAGTAAATTCCGCGAAGCCTTCCCAGTCAGCTTTAGTGAAGTTGATATAGGTCCGGTGCTCCGCGGAAGCAAAGTCGGTTGGTTTATCGATCGAGATGACTATGGGCAGATGGTCTGATGCCAAAGTCAGCATAGGTCGTCATGATATGCTGTTTATCAGACCAGCTCTGACTGTTCTATGTCTGGCGAGCTGCAGCTGCCCATAATCCTGGTCGGTACGCCGTCGTTCATTGTGCAGAATGTCGAATCGTCTATCTGCTCGGCCAAGTCAGTTCCCCTACGATCGTTTGACGGTGGTTCGGGAGACGTGTGGTAATGCGGGGTGTGAGAGATGTGTGTAGACGTGACGCCATTGGCTGTGTGCGCTGATGAGGTTGTTGCCGCCCTGTGGTGGTGGGTGGCGTCGCAGTTGAGGTTTGCGACCACGCAGTGCAACACGGGCCCTCGAAGTTCCTCGTCCAATCTCGCGTGGTGCGCAGACCTGAACATGCCCTAAAGTGGCACCAGCCAAGGCAGGTGTTGCACTTGACTGAGGTCACATTACGGAATATCCTGGTCTGACATACCGTGCAGATTGTAGGAGGAACCAAGAGTTGTTGGCAGCGGCGTGTGGGTGGTGGTATGGTTGTCTGTGTTCTGTGGTCTGTCGTGGTTGTCGTGTGGTTTATTGTGTTGTTATGTTGTTGTGCTGTGGTGTTTGTGTTGGGCTGCTCAGGTGGACTGGGGTTAGCCGTGGAAGCTGCTCTGTTTGAGCAGCAGGGGGGCACAATCGACGTGGTCCACTGCCGATGTGTTAGTAATCGTGAGCAGACTCTGAGGTGACTCCACCCCTCGCAAGCATTGCACTTGACTGAGGTGGAGTTGTGGTGTAGTCGTCTCTGGCATACACAGCAGGTGTAGGTTTCTGGCCCTGGGTTTCGACTTGATGCCAGCCCTGAGCAGAAGAAAGCGTAGCAAATGTAGCCCTATGGACGAACAACTTCTGAGATACTTCGCCGACCTAAACGGGGTTAGATCGCCGAAACAACAGCCCTTGGTCGGGTAAAACCCGAGTCATTCCGGTACGTAGAACCAGCTGTCGTAGGAATGTAAATAGTGTCG